CTAAGCAGCAAGCAAATTGAAAAATAAAAAGGACTTACACGTGCAAATCCTGTCATTCTGTAGTTGTTTGCTTATTAAGACACAATATCCCTTGTGCTCCACATAATGCATTCAGTGTCATTTGCTGAAGGCAGGGAGTATGCCAAAGGGGCTCTATTGTTGCCCTTTCCAATTAGAGTGCTTAATTTCTCTAGCTTTTTTTTTCGTTCTTATGCAAATAAATCAATAAATACGCCAACTGTTTTCCAAAGAAATAACAATAAAGCCGGAATCTACTAATCAGAATAATTCAACATAATGCTAACTGAACGACCTGGCAATAATATCCTTTTGTGAAGAAATTAAATGTCAGGCTGAATAAAGTAAGATATTTTAAAGTGTTCAGGGCATATACTTAAAGCATAGGCTACAAGAGTGAAATGTTGATGCCATCTAATATGATAGATTACAATACTGTAAGCATGCATGCACAGTATGATATTCATAATTGTTGAGAAGGATCACAATTCAGTGCTTGGACAGGTCAAGATTTCATTTGTCCACACAGTTACCAGGAGCTGAATCCAATTCAGTGGCACCTAACATTTCTAGGTGAATAAACTTGCCTCAGGCCTATCACACCTCCTTAAGGAAAACAACTATTTTTGCAGATTCTATCACTCCATCACTTGGATTCAACCCTATGATTCTGTCCTTAGTGCACTTCCATGTGAGAATTCAATCCAGTTTGAAAGAGGCTCCAGATTCCAGGTTCTCTCAGTATTGTGTGCATTGCAGAGGTGAACCAACTAATTTCTGGCTCATCTGCAGGACGAGAGGAAATGCAAAATTTCACTTTCAAGGGTAAAACTGTAGCCCCAGGTTTCCCATCTCCCCAAAACTCAGAAACTCAGGCAGTGTTATTAGTCAATCTGATTTTACATAATCCTTCTTATCAGCTTATAGTCAGTTTCACAATTTACGTAGAAGATAAAGTTCTACAGGCTTCATCAACAAATCCAATCTTCATTCTTCCAGTATATTACTAGACAATTTAATATCCCTGAAAAACACTTCCTCTTGATTTTCCTTGATTGTATAAAAAACAACCACCAAACCCTGGTTGCAGGGTTGCCAAGTGCTAATGTCATATCACCATGATTGCTTTCACTGGGGATTTGTATACAGGAAGAAAGATATCACCACAGGCAGACCAGTTTCTTCTCATTCCAACATCTCAAATTTTTGGAAAAACATTCAAACAGGCACATCACTATGACTTCAAAATACAGAAGAGGGGGCAACAACATATATTTTCTCCATCTGTATGGAGCAGAGCAAGGATTCTGTATTCTACCCCAGTTCAAGGGAAGGGCATGATTGGAAACCATTTCCCCACCAGTGACTTATACAGTCTTCATGGCATCCCCTAGGCATAACTGAAATAATAGAAAGCTTTCCTCATTGCTTTTAGTTTGGACCACAATGGCTGAGTAACTTTGGAAGATGCTATAGGGTACTAATGGAGAAATATGTGATGGTTTCTGCACTTTTCTATAGGTTAACTGGAAAAAACACTGAATGTCTCATGCTGTTTTCTGTTCTCAGTATTGGTAGGAATGAAGACAGCCTCACAGCCAATTTCAAAAGTCTTTGGAAGAGTTGGGGTGCCATATGGAAGTGTTCTGTGATTGAAGAGCAGATATGCCTATCTCTGCGGATCTCAAACAATGCAAGTCTTGAGTGATTCACATAAATTACTGCATGCAATTTTATTCTCCTTTTCTGAGACTCCTTCAACATAAAGTCCTACAATGCTTTTACCTAGAGTAGACTATGTTTATAACTTTTCTCCAATCCGGAAATATTTTTCTGGCAATTTGCTGCATTACAATGGGCAAACCTACTAAATTTGGTTTCTGTTTCTTGTTTTTGCAAGTATATCAAATTGTGTTTTTCCTCAGTTCTTCCTTTTTATGATGGGTCAGGTTTGATTTACTGACCTTGTTTTAAAAAAAAAAATCCTTTGCATTGAAATGTTACATATTTGGAGGGAAAATGTTTCAACAAATTTGGGGGAGGGCAACTTTGCTAAATGGAAATGATTTCACAGTTTCTCTAGCATAACACATTTTCCTTGAATATATGTATTTTGTACAACCCATAAGCATTCATGGGAGAGGTGATAAAACACACATCTGGGCCTCCTAACACAAACCAATATCAGGATTCCACTACAAATGGCGGGAGTTTATCTTATTATGCCACAACACACATTTCATCATTCTTTCCTTATTGCGGTTTACACCAGATGGCTATGGTATAGACTTTTCCTTAACATACTTTTTTTTAATTGGCAAAGGGCTTAGCAAAATTCGAAGATCTGCAATTTTCAAATGATAATTAAGTTTTGATCTATGTATTGGTTTGAAAAAGCAAAATTAGATAAGATGGCCCCCAGATGTAAACTTAATTATTTTTTTTCTCCCATCCCTGTGCTACATATAATGAAGTATCATTAAAATTCGATTTCATCTTTAAAATATGCATCAGGAAAAGACAATGAACCTTTTCATTAAATTGCTCTCTCTGCTATCACTATCAATAGAGAAAGAATATTTTGGCAGCACATGCATAAGGAAACTCCTTTCCAACATGCAAGCACTGTGTTTCAGCCTCACAGATATAATTCCTATGGTTTCTTACAAATATCCTTTGGATTTACAGTTTTGTGAGAAGTCCCTGTTCAAAGGGCCTAAATCTTCTCAAAAAATTATAGCTGACATAGTTCTCTAGGGGAAGAGAATGACTTTTAGACCAATTTAAAACTATAGTTTTGATAAGAGGAAGAAGCCAGATGGATAGCAGTGATAATCAGCTGCAGTGATGTAGGTCTTAATGTCAAAAGAATTTCAAGCTTTAGAGAATTTTAAAGTACATTTAGTTTGATACCCAGGACATAGTGCTAATCTTGTTCATTTTCACAGGTAGGAGTTATTCTTTCCTGAAGACAGAATTTAGTGGAAGCACTGTGAATCCCTTAGCATAAATTTGTTGCAAATTAATTAACTAAAAATATTTAAATCTTGCTTTTCTGGTAAAAAGTACCCAAAGCTGCTAACAAAAATAATTAAAAACAAAATCAACTTAAGACCCCACACAAATTCCACAGTATACCTGAATCCATACCTCTATATGTAAAACATTTTGCTAACCCTGGCAAACCATACTCTGTAATCGAAATGTTTAACACATCCCACTGATCAGCAGATACTGGAACAATTACATTTCATTAAAAAATAAAGGCGGTACCACTTTTGCAGCACTAAATACTATGGGTGCTACTAAACTTATATTTCAAAGCTGGGTGGCAAACAATATAAAAAGAAGCACGCTTCCATGTTTCTAGGTAGTAAAGAAGTCCTGTGGTTGGATTTCCCTCTGTGATTTCCTTCTTCTAAAAGCAGCGACAGGGTCTCTAATTGGAACTGGAATCACAGTAGAGCAAAAGCTCGTTTTCACTAACTAATTGTGGGGAGAGATGTCCACTATTCATAGAATCCATCATGAGTAGGTGACTGTGAACTGCGATCTGCATAGCTGGCATAATGACATCATTGTGCAAATGATGCAAATTACCCAATTTCTGTCAATTTGCATCATTTGTGTAATAGAATTTGCATCATTTGTTTAATTACGTAATTACACAAATGAAGTTAATTGAGGAGGAAAATTGGTGCATTCCATGCAAAGCCCATTACATCCAGGTCTACTAACTTGAGATTTCACCATGCCAGGTCCCTGAGTATTTTCCCACATGCACACTTTTAGCTATTATTAGGGGGGGAAACATAAGGTTTCTACTAAGGTCCTTTTCTTACTGGGGGTTCTACTTCTGCAGCTAACCGCAGTTTGGAAGATAACTGGGACACTGCTCTGAAATGCAGAGAAAAAGTTAGGCCCTCTTCCTCAGCCATTCATAGAAAATAAAAATTATACAAGAAAAATGTATTCCTGAATGTCCTCTGTAATACCAAGTGCATAGAGCAGTTTAAATTTTGTTTTAAAATATTATATAAATGTCTGTAGCCCAATCTATGGCACATTTCTTCAAAAGATCACTGAATGAAATCTACCTCTGTTAAGAATCTATACAAATCCAGACCAAGAACTTTGGAAAAAGAATCCTATTTTCCATCCTTTTAAAAAAAAATGTAGCAGTTGTGGTACTAATAGCAGCAGGAGACCACATTTCAATGACAATCTTCAATTATAATTTGTTTGTTTGTTTGTTCATTCATTTTTATTTTATTCAATTTGTATAGCCACCCATCCCAAACCAGTGACTCTGGGTGGCAAACAATCATAAAAACAATTAAAACACAATATAAAAAAGAAATTAAATAGCAGCCAAGAGATATTATAATCTGTCAGTGTCAACATAACCAGGAAATGAGGCCCTTCACACCCTTGGGACCCCAGGCCCAGGCACATAGCCAGGTCTTCAAGACCTTCCAAAAGGCCAGCAGGGTTGGGGCCATCCTAATCTCAGGAGGGAGGATGTGCCAGAGGGCAGGAACTACAGCAGAAAAGGCATGTCTCCTGGTCCTCACCAGCTGACATTCCTTGGCTGACGGGACCCAGAGCATGCCCATCCTGCTGGACCAGATTGGATGGGTAGAAACAACTGGGAGAAGGTAGTCCCTCAGGTAACCCAGTCCCAAGCCATGAAGGGCTTTAAAGATGACAATCAGGGCCTTGTGTTACACCCAGAAATACACTAGCAACCAACGTAGTCCCTGAAGCAGTGGTGTTACATGTATTTATATTTATAACTATATATATATATATAGTTATATATAATTATACAATTATAATTATTTATATATATAAATATATAAATATATATTATATATATTAATATTATTATATAGATAATTATATAGATAATTTATATAATTAATTGCCAAGAACCCAGCAACAGGAAAAACATACCAATAAATAATCCAAATGGAGCTTACCAAGATCTAAATGAACTCCAGGAACAAACGAATTGAGAAAGTACATGAGGATAACAAATCCTAAAACCATCAGGCATTTGATGAGAAGCAACTTGTCTGTTATTCTGTGCTGTTCAGAAGAGAAAATAGATGAATCAAGACAGAAGAGGTAATAGTCTTCAAATATCCAGTTCCAAACCAGCATGCTTCCCAAGTCAGAAGCAAATGTGATTATAGTATAGTGATGTTTTCATTAAAATGGCAGAGGAAACACCTAAGGTGTGAAAACAATATTTTAAATTTAGAAAGAAACACATTTGGATTCTAGAGATTTTGACTACATTTCCAAGTACAACCCTATTGACAATCTTAGGAATAGCAACAAGTATTTCATATCTGCTGAAGATGAAGTTTTCATCTTCATTATACAAATAAAATCAGATCTCACACTTGTCAGATATATTTTTTCTTATTATAGCAGGAAAAGAAAGGCTGGAAAGAAAGTCCCTTAATAACTTAATTTTTGACTATTTGGAGCCACGTATTCCAGGATCAAACAGCCTCTCTATAGTTGCCGTGTCAGGTAATATATTTGATATTGGCAAATATATTAATTTTGGTTCAGGTAGAACACTGTACTTTTATTCTATTTTTACTTGTTTATTATTGTATGTAGTATTTACTGTACATTTTTCCCATGTACAAAGGTACATTTAGAAACAAATGATAAATAATGTAACATAGAACTCCACTTTAAGGTCACAAATAGAACTATTCTATAATCAAAGACCATTGTCCATTTCCAACTACATAGATTCACAGTGAATTTCATATCTATCTCTCTATCTCTCTATCTCTCTATCTCTCTATCTCTCTATCTCTCTATCTCTCTATCTCTCTATCTC